TTCAACTGTTAATATATCACCAAAGCTGAAATCCACACTTGGGAGACAGCGGCTCTTGAGGACAATGGACTGGACCACTGGGTGCGAGGACCAACTGTCAAAAGGAAACGTTCCCGAAAACAGAAGAAGGGGAAACGGGTGGGCGTGTTGACCCAGCTGATGCCTAGGAAGCCACCAATTCTGACTCTCTTTCTGGCCAATGTCCGCTCACTGGGTAAGAAAGTGGATTTGTTAGATCTGAGGTTAAGAGTTTCTGCAGAGATGAAGAACTGTGCCATTCTTTGTCTAACAGAAATCTGGCTTAACAGCAACATGCCAGACTTTAGCCTTCCAGATCAATGGTCTTCAGTTATTCCAAGCAGACTGTGACCAACGGTCAGGAAAAACACAGGGAGGAGGACAATATATGTAAGTGAATGAAGGTTGGTGTACGAACTGTGGCACGACGTGTGTGATCAGAAAGCGCTAACGTCACTGATCAGGATCAGTCAAGCATAAAAACCTAAAGATCTTATATCCGCACAATATCGCAATCTGAAATGCAACCCACCTGAGGGACAAGCTAAAATTTGTAGCTCAAGCACACAAAAAAAATCCATCTGTAACCATAAGCCAAGATTTGTTTCGTAAGCTGGGTTCATGATCCCTCCAAAAAAAGGGAACAGACCTGAACAAACAAACAGCCACAGAAGCAGGCAGGCAGGTGCTACCGTCTCTCTTTTTTTTTCTTTTCTTTTCCCTTTTCCTCTAGACACACAAGCTTTGTGGTAGTCTGCAAAAGAAAGGGGCTCCTGAGACCAGGGTCACCTCCCAGAAGACCACCATAACTCTGCTCTGGTTCCCAGATGTTCTCATGCATGCAGGCTTACATGCACACAGACACACTCAGACCTTCTGAACCCTCACGGAGACCGAGAACAAATGCATCTAAATAAAAAAAGACACAAAACGTCGCTGCAGGCGGGTTTGTTTTTACGCCAGCCCCGACTACCTGACTCAGATAAACCCGCTTGTTAGACTGCATCAAAGCGTCAGGTATTGTTTGTTTGTCAAGCCCTCGTATGTGTAAGCAAACGTGACCGAGAGCGACGGATTGTGATTCCGCTGGGCAATATATGTTAGCACGTGTGTAAGCATGAGTCGGCGCACGTGCACTTGTTGAATATGTGATCTATTCCTGGGGCTGCCGAGGAAATGAGGGGAGCTGCAGCAGGCCATTAGGATGCAGATCAGGACAGACGTGTGTATGTGCTCAGTGGTTGCCGGTTAAAGGGGGGGAGGGGGGGGGGGGGGCAGAGGAATCAACAGCAGACCATCTATTATAATGACAGGAAGCAGGAAGTACAACCCTTTACAGTCACATGGCTGCCAGCTGTGTTGGCAGCGAGAGAAGGGGAGATAGAGAAAACGATAGGGAGAGAGTGTGTGTGTGTATATGTGTGTGTGTGTGTGTGTGTGCGTGTGTTTGTGTGAGTGTGTGGATATGTGTGTGTGAGCAGATTTGAGAAGAAATCTTTCTATTGGCCTTCCAGCACATCAAGGGAACATTTCCACGCAAAATATCAGCATTAACCACTGGCAGAGAAAACAAAACATCTAATTGCATGGAGCAACTCCAACCGTCCTCGATCCAAAATACCAGTTTAGGTCCAGACAAAAAAAAAAAAAAACGCTTCAAACCTTTACGCCTAAAATCACGGATGTTCTTCCTGTTCCGACGCGGGAGCAAAGCTCAGATTTTGGCCATATGGATGTGTTTAGTAGCCGCAGCTCTGCACACATGCAAACGCCCACTCGCAAGGACCCAAATATGCACATTTTCGCATGGATGCACATGTGGTCTCGTGCTCTCTACAGACTCAGACCATGCACTCAAAACAGGAAAACTGCTATTTTTTTTTACTGGCATCAACTCCAAATAAAATCGCAGCGGCGTTTGCACTTAACAGCAAATTTCTGTTTAAGACGTGCAATTAGTATATCAAGAGACTTCATCTGACATATACTAAGGTACATGTACAAGTGTATATATTTACGTATGTATGATATGTAGACATTATTTAAAAACCATCCTAGAGATGCCTTATTATTCTTAGAAGCAAAAGTCAAGAGCATAAACCTAATCAGTAGCTTAGTTTCTTAGTGAAGACGTTTTACTGAATATGGAATTGATATTTCAGAACATATATAAATAAATACCTTCAGAGAGGTGGCTGTTGACAGGTGTTTGTGTCTCCTTGCTGTAAGAGACCACCTCTTTGGGAAGGAAGTCAACCTGTGTGATCTTAGAGGCCCCGAGCCTCTGCATCTTGCGCCTGCATGAGAGCAAAAATCATTTTAATGACTGTAATTATATTGTAAATAAATCCCAAACTGCCTTGTGTCAATTTCTAATCTATTTGTTTTTTTTTAAAGAGTGAGATGAGAAAGATATACCCGAGCTCAGAATCAGCCTGCAGCTGCAGCACAGAGGGGTCTGTGTCCCATTGCAGTGTCCTAATGTCACCAACAGAGGGAGCAAGAGAAAACACGAATGGTTACAAACATCTTGCAGTCACCAGGGCAGATTTATGAAGGACCTACAAACACACCACATGTACACACACATACACTGCATGTTGTAGTAAAATGTCTCCTGTAATGAGACATTGTACTGTCTTTCATTATGCATCATTGAAGATCTCTGCTTTTATGCTGTGAGGTTTTTCTTTGATTTAAAAGGAAGAACAAATTAAAATTCAGAAAATTCATAAAATTTGAATATTTAATCTAAGTTATTTTCATTTAAATGGACACAAAAAAAAATAACTTAGTTTTGGAGATATTTATGTCCACCTTTTTTCTCTAATTCCCACATAAATGAGAGCACACACACTTATTAAGAGCTTGCACTTTTCTCTCCTGCATTTTCTTTTTTTTAAAAATTTTTTTTTTTAAACATATAACAGCAAAGTCTGCAAAAGCAAAAAAAAAAAAAAAAAATGACCAGCACCTTGCAGAAACATCTCCACCCTTAAACGTTTTAACTTTTTTCATGTTACAACCAAAAAATATTTTTGTTAGGATCATATTGATAGACCAACACAAAAACAGTGTATAAGTGTGAATGAAAAACATGTTTTTCCCTTTGTTTTGTACTGGTAAAACCTATAAAGCATGGCATGCATTTGGATTCATTTGGGTTCATCTGTCTTCCCATCCTCTTTGACAGAAACACCAACATGTTTACCGTAAGGATTGAGAGTCCAGAGGAATGCAGTGGAGTCTGTGACCTTAAACCCAAAGAGCCATTTTTTTTGCCCACAGTCTGGCTAAGTAAAACTCCTTCAGAGTCCCAAATGTTAAATGAAGTTTTTGGGGAAAAAAATGAAGAAACACTTACTGTAGGAAGTGTGTTGCTGTTATTTTTAAAGAACCCCAATTTTATTTATATTTTTATATTTTAAAACAAATTAAAACTTTACAAAAATAGGATGAATATATTTTCTTCTATAGGATATTGATTGAACTATATAAATAAGAAACATAGTTTCAAATCGAATGACGGTAAAAATAGATGTAATTACTATAAATGTTAATTTTAATGTTGTTTAATGCAATTTTTTATGACAAAAAAAACTGGAAAACCTACTAAAACATGCATTTGTTAATATATAAACATTTAAAAACATTAGTTAGTTCGTTATAATATTTAGCTAAGATTTTAAAGTGGAAAGTCCAAAGAGCTGCTTGCGGCTATGGAGCTACAGGTTGCAGACCCCCAATCTGGCAAATAAACCCCCCCGCCACCCCAAAAAAAAAAAGATATATTAAGTTTTGCAGCAGCAACTTGAAAATGTAAAAAAGTTAAAGGGCTATGAAGGATTTTGCAAGGCATTGGATGTAATAGAGTAAATTATTCCAGCATGGACAAATAATAAAAAGCTAAATGAGGCATTGAAAATGCCTTGCACAATCAACGAATTTGACAAACAGTGAGTGAAAAGTGCTGAGCTCACTGGCTGCATTCCTCTGCTGCTTTGGCAACACAACCAATCAGTTATGGGGAAAATCAAAGCGTTTCTCAACTGAAACCCACCAGCTGTAAAAGGATAACACACCAGACCTCCTGATGATACATTTCTGAACAGAAAACAGACCCGTCACACATTCAGCATGTGTCACACAGCTCTGAAACAAAGAGTGCCAATCAATGGGATTCCTTCGGCTTGACGGGCTGGCTGTTTTTAACTGTGGCACAGGTGACAACTTTCAGCAACACTGTCACCTCTGCGGCTCGGCCCATGTGAGAGAGGAGACGTTTCAGGGCTTAAGACAGGACAAGAGAGGAGCGGGGAGGAGAAGGGCGGGACACACAGCACTCTGTTGGTCTTTTAAATCAAGTCGAAAGACAACACTGTGGAAGCCTTTCTGTTCTGAGTCGGACCTCAGCCACAGAAAGTTAAGGAAGGGGTTTCCTGGGTTTGACATGAAAATGCTTACCTTGAGCTCTGTGCTTGGGGCTTGTTTTTAGAGAAACCTGACCTATGAAGGACACACACACACACACACACACACATACACAACCACAAATGGAGAAGCTCAAATTGGCATGTCGTCATCCAAGGTGGAATTGGAGGGGGAAAGTCGTCTTCAATTCACCAAATTGATAAAAACTGACACGAATGAACGACTTAGCAAAATGAGCATTTTGTTCTCATGGAAACTTAAAGCTTAACTTTCTCTACTTCTTCAACCCCCAACACCACCGCTGGCCACGCCGATCGATGAATCACTAATCCGAAGGCGTCACTCACACATTGACCTCACAGTAAGCAAATGGAAAGCACTTGATGACCAGACTTTTTTCTTTTTTTTTCTTCACCAGAACACTCTGACGTCCCGCACCACTTCTCTGCAATTAACATACATAACATGCTGCAGTGCCTGGAGCATACATGACACGTAACTTTAAATCACATCTCACTGAATTTTGTGTTGCCTTTATATGAAAAAAACAAACAAAAAAAACACTCAGGCCCAGTGAGGCATAATAAAAGCAAAGATTGCTTTTTAAAAATTGGATAAATGTTGCTTTCTCAAAGATTTACAGCGTCTTAACCAAAAGTCTTGTTAATGAACAGTTTTGTGGGGGAACTGTGTCTGCTAGTCTGTCTCTGTGACTTCTCTTTTGAGACTTTCCACAAAAGCAAACGTCTTAGATGTACAAAAGACTAGACAGTGGTCATCAAAACACAAAGTACTGTGATAAAAAAAAAAAAAAAAAAAAGACACCAATATCACATTTATACACAATGAAGAAACCTCACCGTTGGTGGAGCCATCCTTACCTAAATCTGTTATGCCAATATCAAGAAAAAAAACAAAAAAAAAAACAGAAATATTTCTGTGAACCGTCAAGGCCTCATTGAAGTGATTGCCATTTTTAGATAAAATGTCTTTTATGAAGCCTTTACACTTCAAACAGCAGTCCTTAAGTCTCCTATCTCTTACAAAAGCATCAAAAACATTGTTCCTACACATGCCGTTCACTATATTCATTTTTAAAATGACAAAGAAGAACATCTGGCTTTGAACTCTGGGTGGGAAACGTTTGCCTACCTGCCTGCTGCCCCTCCCTCAGCTGAATCTTGACTTCCCGTCTCACTGGGAGTGCTCACCGATTTAGAGGGGGACACGGGTGTAGGAACTGGAGGGAGGAAAATGTAACAAAAGCCATCTTGTTTTTAAAGCTTGTATGAGACACAGCACAGGATTTTGTCAGAGCAAAAACATATAGCAAATAAAGCCCAGGTGCAGTGCAGGATTTTTGCTTTGCTTCTCATCAATCTGTTGTTTCACACGACTTATAAATAACTAGAGCTAATTTTTTTTTTTTTTTTTAAATAGCGACCCACTTTAGAGGAGTTTAAGGTGTTGTTACAATCCTGGACCACTAGAGAACAGCACTCTTTAAGGAGCTGATGGACACTTCTGGGAGGATTCAAAGCCTCGTTTTTAACAGGGGGAATGAGATCTGGATGAACAATACAACATAAGCATGGACCTCCACATTTAATTTTTCATTAGAACTTAATCAAAAACGAAGGATTGTTTATAAATGTTTTGTTTGTAAAACAGAATACCACGTACCTAGAGGAGGTTCGGGGGAGATGCCGATACTCTGTAGCAGGGCCTCGGTCTCCCTGCGCTTGCGGTCCAAGTCTGAATCTTCTGGCGTCACCTCTGTTTTCTGCTGGCTGTCCGACTTCTCCACCCAGGGAAACACATAGAGGGAGAACTCAGAGTGTGTTTTTTTTTTTTTTTCAAAGATTTACGGTATACATTTTTCACAACTTCACCGGCTCCTGCCGTTTTTTATGTTGCTCCAGCCTGACAAAAAGCATAACATAAATTCATGTACTATTTTTCTTTACCTCTTTCTTCTTCCTCTCCTCCTCCTTCCTTTTCTTCTCCTCCCTGATCTGGGCGAGGCGCTGCTTTTTGCGCTCCAGCTCTGCCTTCAGGTCACTTTTGTCCGACATGGTGTCCTGGAGGGCTTTGAGGATCAATGAATCACAAATGACACTGAAACAGTATGCAGTTGCTGTTTCCTCCTAATAAATGACACACCACAGAAGAAGAGCTTCTCTTCAGAAAGCAAGTCTAACTGTTCACAGCTGGGTGTGTCAGACACTTGTCCATACAACCCCACCTTCCCCCCCCCCCCCAGAAAACTGAGAGGATTGATTAAAATGTATCAGAACAATAACAAAAAAAAAAAAAAACATCAAGCCAAATATTTAAACAGAGCTTAGTCCACGAAGATGCATCAAGTGGAACCATAACCTTATCCTAATGTCAAAAACCTGACATTAGGAGCTCAATGCAAAAACATTTAATAGAAATAAGTAGAAATGTATCAATGAATGTTGGCATAAATGTAACTATATTTGTTACACGGCAGTACTATGAATTACACAATACACTGAGACAATATGAAAGAATATGAAAACCATTTGTGTGCTTTGTCACTGAACGCTGTTAGCTAGAAATTAGTGCACATTCGCACAAACCTGTAAATATGAGAGCAATTATAGTGACGTCGACAAAAAAAACCAACAACTTCCAACGCTGAAAATGATAAACAAAAGCTTCAATATGTCGCATATACGGCCGTATTATAGTGTCATACCTTATCCACTTGTGGGGCTAATGATGTGTCACCGGCAAAGATGCTGTCTCACTGCTGAATCTCGATCTAAAATAAATAAATAAATAAAAAAATCAACACATCCTCTGTTAGGTTGCTTCCAGTCTCTTTGTATCAAGGCCTCTCTGGTACCAGAGGATGCTTCGTTTGGTTCCCAGTAAACGAGTAAGTTAAAATGGGTTATTGTACTGAAACGAGGCTGGAAGCAGGTGCACAGCACGCCGATGCATCCTCGGGAAGGAGCGAAGAGGTGGAGTGATGTTGAAGAGGAAGAGAGGAAATCCCTCCTCCTCATCATCTTGGGGACGCGCTGTCACTAGCAACGCCGCCATCTTGAGGCCGCCTGAAGAAGAGCCATTACAACACTGGGGAGATGTAGCTGCTCTTTTATTTATTTATTTATTTATTTATTTATTTATTTATTTATTTATTTATTTGCTTACTTAAAATAATAAATATGACACAAAACGTGTAAGATGGAGTTCTTTGCAAATATGATGAGATAATATTTTGAGATAATATCTTGGGAACTACTATGTAAAAATATACTTTTCTGCTTCAGAAAATCAAGACAGCTTGCTGATGTACTTCGAAAGTTTTAAGACCAATATGCACTGCAAGGACAGAGAACTGGAACTCTTGGGACCGCAAGCTCAAAATGACAACACTTAACTTACACATGTTTTGTTTGTGTCTTATAACTATTATCATATTGCCATACAATTGCTGAAGATGGAAGAGCCTACGATGTTTTCTTTAGAGTTCTGCAAGGAAACATCTTTTGTTTCATTTACTTCATGCTTCTTGTGAGGCATGAAATGTCCTGACCAGAAGGAACGTTGCTCGTACCACTGTGAAAACAATTCTCTCTGTTTTGGTGCATGCTATTTTTCAGATTTCCTTTCATTTTAAGAAGTCATTCAGATCAAGCAGGTTTTCTAAAAAAAATGGAGTTCTCACCTCTTTTTTGGATTAAATATACATTTTCATTTGCTTTAATTTAGACATATAGAATATATCCTGGATCTTCCTTATGTTGTAACTCCTGCTGCTGCTGCTGTTGAATCTCCCCCCGACTCTTGGAGTGGACTTTGTGTCACAATCCTCTCAAAGTTGAAGATAACTCTATTATTTGCGCAAATTTTTTCAACACACTTTTTTTTCCTGTTACTCAACTTTCAATATGCTTGGGTGTGTCACTCTGTAAACAGTTTACCTGTTTTACAATGGACTTTGTAGCTTACCTTCGTTGTAAGTGATTCTTCCCTGCACAATCAAGTCAGTAGTCACCATGTCTATGCTGGCTATAGCCATGACATAACATGTCTGTATTTAAAACAGTTTTCAGTGGTCTAATTTTCTGAGGAACAGAATTTTGGGTTTTCATTAGCTGTATGTCAGAAACTGTTGATTATTTATCCTTCTGTATGTAATGAGTCCATATAAGTTTTACTTTCTGAATCGAAATAAATAAACTTTATCATGAGATATGATCTGACATGACTGCTTTATAAATACAGACTGTTTGTACCCCATAATAATTATATCAGAGCAAAGTATTAGTGCTTTAAAAATATGCCTTACGATAGAAAAAAGTAAACTTGAGACAATGTTTTGCATAATGTAACAGTTTACTTAATTACAGACCAGGCTGCTTCCAATTTATTATTTCATTTGAACTCCGGGTGCAGCCAGAAACATCCCTTTGATGCCACAAAAATAAATGATGGCAGTGGCTCAAAACTGTAAACACAGGGATTTTTGATAGCTGGTCGGTAGGTGATGCTATCATAAAGAGGTCTATCATTGTACAGCTCATCCAGTTCGGTTCCAGTCAAGGGGCGCTGGGCTCCGCCCACAATGAGGAACAGCTAAGCGCTGATTGGTTGGTTTCAACGTCAGTCTTACGTCTTCCCCTTGCAGACAACAACATACCCCCCTGCTCAACGCTAGAAGTTGAATTCAGAGGGCGCAAATATGGAAGGAAACTGCCAGAGAAAAACATTCTTGCTGAGCTCATGAGCGGGCCTAGGAAGGATGATGTGAAGGATTTCACTGGTGTGACGTCGAATTATTACCCAGTTAGCTAAAAAATAATCGTTAAACTGGATTGTGCTGGAGTCAGAAAGGACGGCTTGCCCCTGATACACTGCTAGCATTTGGGGTCTACTGAAGGGGAGGAAAAAATGAGGTTCGCCCAGTTTTTGTTGAAAAACGGCTCGTTAGCTGGGATACCGAAACAAGTGGAGAGGTTTTCCAAGTTTTCGCCTTCCCCGTTGTCAATGAAGCAGTTTATTGACTTCGGTAAGTGCTCCTGGCTGATGTGGTGCTATATGCTCCATGGACACACACTATACATTTACACTGCTAACACGCAACTGGCGTTACTTATTGTCGTAATTTAGCTAAATTAATGCCCAGATAACTGCAGAGACTGCATTATTGTCTAGGAGACGTCCAGATAATCTGTACAAACATAATTCATTTGTACAAGTGTGTCGTTTAGGAGTTTGCTTTGTTGTGATGTTGTAATTGTTGTTGATGTCGCTCATGTGACCACAGGCTCTGCTAATGCATGTGAGAAGACGTCCTTTGTGTTCCTGCGACAGGAGCTTCCCGTTAGACTGGCCAACATCATGAAAGAAATTGATTACCTCCCTGACAAGCTTCTTGGCACTCCGTCTGTAAAGCTCCTGACAAGCTGGTAGGATACCTGGACTTCTTTTAGATTCACTGTGCTGGACAGAAAACATGTCGCCAAACCTCAGGAGTTAGTTGTTCCCATTATCCTAAGTTCATGCAAATGGGGGATTGCAGAACTTTCCTTCCAGTACCAAAGTCCTCTTCTGATTACACCATACAGAAAATCTTCCTTGCATTTAATCCTTTCAAAGTAACAAACCTATTACCATCTTTAGCTTTAATGATCTTCACTTTAATTAGACATGAAGATTAGGTTACCTTCATTCAAACTGCAGCAAATCCAAAAATAATCCCAAAAATATTGATGGATGAGTTGTTTTCCTATGTACTGGATTGTTATTCTGGGTGTTTGTAAATGTAATTTGATCTAAATATTTTCTTAGTTTAGACAAAAGTGGAATAATGGCATATGAAAAAAATTGTAATTCAAGACTTCATCCTCGATTAGATTCTTTTGAAGATCTCTAGTATCTAGCCGTACTTTTGTTAATCCACCGACCATTTGTCCATCACTCATTCATCCATCCATCCCAGTTTTTTTTTTTCCATATTTAAATCCTGATCAATCTAAAAAATTATGCTATGTTAGATCACATGCTAAAAATGCTAGAGAAATCTTGAAATTTGAATCTTGCCTTTAAATGAACTTGAGCGTGAATAATACATTCCTTTGTTTTGCTTGGGACACAGAACATATTTTTAAATGAATATTGTTTTGCTACTCATGAGTAGCAAAAAATGATCATAATGACATTTTGTTTCAGTGTTTGGTTTGAGGTCCAAACCAAACACTGAAATGCCTGAAAGTAATAGTTTCTAGCAACAGGTGATCATCCCTGCATATGTCTGGGGGTATTTTAAGTCAGTTTGGCTGTGCAAAATCACTGATGTATGCATGTGTGTGTGTGCATGTGTTTGTGCGTGCGTGCGAGTGTGTGTGTGTGTGCAAGGGTTTTTCCTGTATAAAAAAGTATACATTCTCATGTTAGAAGTTACTTTTCAAAGTTTGCGATCGTTGCTGGTCAACAACTCGGCATTCTCTATTTGCCGACAACCAGTCTTACTGTGGAATAAATTAAATGCGTACTGTTTGTACTTGTCCTGGACGCCATGAAGCGTTAGCTGGGGGCAGCTCTCCACACATGTATCGTACCTCCAGGTTTTTTACTGTTTACATAACAGCGTAAGAGCCACAGATACAAGCATTTAAATGCTCTGTCGAGTTTTGTTTTGTTTCTGCGTAACTGAAGAGCTCAGCGGCTTCTCTTAATGCCAAAATATCTCGATGTTTCATGTTATACCTGTGTCCATTCCAGCAGAGATATCTGCCTGTTCGCATGGACATGAATACATTTTTTTTTTTTTACAAGCTGAAGGTGACTTGAGGGACAGGCTCAGTGCATAGAAAGAAGCACATGCAGTCAGTGACACAGCGAGTCACCTCTCACCCAGATTTCTTTTTTTTTTTTTTTTTTTTTTTTTTTTTTGCACTGACGGAGCGTAAGAGAGTGTGAGCTCAGCACTCAGGCCCCCTTGTTTTCCTGGCCCGCACCAGAAGTCCTGCACATGACAGGCAGATATTGTTAATGAGGAAATGGCAAAGTCCGTTCAGCGTGATGTGTAAAGTTTTGAAGAAGATTAGATATTCTTCTGCTGTTTTGATTGTCACTCCTGTTCATAAAACATCAGCTTGTATTTATGTTGGGGGTTTTTTTAGGCCCGAGCAGCTAAGCGCTGCGAGAGCCTATTGAAACTGTACTGTT